GGCGTAAGAGATGTGGCAACAGCACCTCAAACTACAATCTTTCGAATCTATTTTACATTATGTATTAATCGTAAGTGTATTCTTTAGAACAATATTGCACCAAGATATATCATTGTAATAATTGAGTGCTGGTTCCTGTCTGGAAGAAACTTTTGAGCATTACTGTCGCGAAACAACTACCTTAAGGCTGATAGGCTCTCATAAGAAATTGTAAGCAATTCAGTAGGAAAAATAGTATCGTGTGCCGTTTGCCTAACTCAGCCTAATTTGGGCTACCTTACTTATATCTAATTTTATGTCTAACTTATATCTAATCTACACCTAGTAACACACTATAAGTTCCATGTGTTGGGCATTTCCCAATCCCATTTCTCCTAGATATTCGACGAATCTTCTATCGTCTTTATTTGTAGCGGAAAAATGGTTTCATTGTGATAAAAAAGTACTGTGAACCATAGACTCAGATACATAGACTGCGCGTCCTTATAGTTGCGCTGAAGACTAGATTGAAAGACAGATATAGTGCGTGAGAGATGCTTTCTCTCTCGTTCTTTAAGAGTGAGGAGAAAACGACAAATGTTCGTTTCTCCTTATTTCCCTTGCACCGATACGCATATTAGACAGAGACATACTCACTCAGGCTATTGCACTCTCGCTTTAATGTTCAATTCCTCTCACGGAACGAGCAGTCTACGAGTATTTGTACAAGTCTGTGATATGAACCTAATCATAAGATAGCTGGGAATATGTTAATCGCGGCATATATTTCTAATATTTGTCATAATCTTAAAGAATAATTTTTGCCACTCACATTTTTGCAAATTAACATAAAAATATTGCAATACATTTTCAGGATAAATATTACAAGTACAATGAGTTCTGTATAATGCTAAATGCAAAAAGTATAAATGCGAAATAGATTCGTGTGCTTTCATAGGTTTCCCCCATAAACGAGAATCTCGTGATGGAGAACAGGCCATGGTACGAGAGGTATCAGCCGATCTCTTACAATATTATTACTCGATCCGGGAACGAAGCCGAATTTAAGGATATGGTGGAAAGATGCAACAAGGCTGGCGTGCGGATATACGTTGACACGGTCATCAATCACATGTCAGCGGATGCACAGCCCGCGTACGGCACCGGTGGCACGTTAGCAAAACCAGATAACTTAAGCTATCCGGGAGTCCCGTACAGTTCCGAGGATTTTAACCATCCAGCGTGTACCATCCACGATTATAACAACGCTGCAGAGGTCCGCGATTGCGAGCTGTCCGGTCTTCACGATCTCAATCAGACCAAGGTGCACGTCCAAGATAAAATAGTTGAATATTTTAACAAGGTCATCGATCTTGGAGTCGCTGGCTTTCGGTAATTATTTTCATTAATCTACTCTTTACTGTGATATTTTTTATCAAGAATTTTTAAGAAAAAGATAAATTTCGTTTACACAAAATGAAACTTAGTAAAATACACTTAAAGTTTAACGTTAAAAGAATCACGGGACACTGGCGTTCGGGGTGTTCAATGAAATGAGAACCCTAGTAGCACAGTGCATTGGCTAAACATTCATCCAATGTTGGTTATATTAGACATGCATTGGCCGATATTGTCCAACGTAGAGCCAATATTGGCCATGGAATTAATGTAAATATTGCACGACAATAATTATATAATATTAGATTCATATTGGAAGTGCATTGGCCAATATTTAACAATGTAATAAGAATATTGGTCTAATATCGATACGATATTAAACCTAAATAGACATTGGCTGAATAAGAGAAGGCGTCCATCTTACAATATTGGACCAATATTGGGATGACATAGATTTACGTTATTTCCCAATAATGCGCCAATATATTGTGTTACTATACACAGAGAGTCCCACTTTTTTAAATAAAACAAAATTTAGTCGACTCAACTGAATTTCTTGTTTGGATATGGACAAACAAATCTTTCAGTTGATACAACCAAAAAATTGAGTTGGAAAATTTGATTACATCGACACACAAATTTGGTTGAGTAAACATGCGCAGAATCCCTTTATAATATTCAACTAAATAATGTAGTTCACGCAACAAACACAATTATTTAGGACGTGGTGAGATGTACGCATTTGTTATCTCGATCATAAAATTTTGTTCAGATAAATAACTTATGGAAACAAAATAGTTTGTTGCTGTAAAATTTAACTTCTTATCAGCAACATATTTTTCGTTTTATCCAACCAAATGACATGTTCAATGAACAAAATGATTCAACCAAATTATTTCGTTTTATCCAACAAAATGGGTCTCTAAGTGTAGGGAACGGATTCTTCTGCTTGTAATTTCTGCGCTTGAACTCATCCAAGCAGTAAGTACAAAAAATGAAGTCATTCGTAACAGCGATCGCGTTTCGCCGCTAATCCCTACCTGCGTGCAAATCAACGGACGGCCGATGCGCATTCCGCGGCGAAATATGCGAGCGAGATATAAAATCCGAAGTGTAAACTCGCGAGATACGCTCCGTAGCCCCACCCCGAGTCTCTTCCTCTCTCTTTCTCTCTCTTGCATCGAGGATGCGCCGAAGACTGATGATGTTTAACATTAAACCGGACGAGCGGTGCCGCACGGCACTGACAGAGGCCGGCTCGTCTGGTAGCATTAATAAATGAGGGACATCAGCTTTTAATTACGCGCCTCGCTCGTAATTGTAACCCGCAGCGAAATCGTACCATCTCGTACCGAACCGGTGGCTTTACAGGCGGAAGAGCGATATACGCGTCGGGAATGATAACGGGGCGCGCTGCCGTCTTGGGGACTGCGCTACGCATCGCGGCCGCGGATTGCAAGTGGTTTGCATACCTATATTTCGAGGAAAGGAATGTGGCGTTGATAGCGCGTATTAAGAAAGCGTGACAGCCGCAAAAGTGCGCTAAAGTCACGGTGCTCGTACGGAAAGGGAAGTTTGATAGCACAGTATATTACATTCTGCCGTAACAAGTTTTGTTAATTATTATATGGACGGGTAAGAATGCTCGCGTGACAAGCTAAGAATAATAATTTTGCTATACAATGTTATTTATAGCGCGATATAATCAATGAAATTGATTCTCTCTCCGTTAAGATGCACTGAGAGACCCATTTTGTTGAATAAAACAAAATTTAGTTGATTCAACTGAATTTCTTGTTTGGATATGGGCAAACAAATCTTTCAGTTAACAACGAAAAAATTCAGTTGAAAAATTTCGTTATATCAACACACAGATTTGGTTGAGTAAACGTGCGCAGAATCCCTTTAAGATGGTTAGTTGTTGTGACATTTAACTTCTTTTCTGCAACATATTTTTTGTTTTATACAACCAAATTACATGTTCAGTCAACAAAATGGGTCTCCCGGTGTAGCGACAATTTAGCCGCGAAAATATATTCTTTCGACACGGATCGTTTCGCATCCAGGGTAATCTCGTGTTTCCAAAAGCATCAAATTTATTTAGCAAGCTGTTTCTGTTTTATCACCAAACCAAGTATCGAATATCGAGCAATTTGCGATAACGAAATTTCCTTTTCACATCCATGTATATGTAGCAGCGGCCACGATTTTGCCGCAACATTAAAATTTTTTTCCTCAATAGCGGCGTTTCACTCGCGCGAATTTATTTGTGTGTCGAAATTAACGCGACGAAATTGTCGTGAATGTACGCGCGATAATTTTACGCGACATCACTTGAAACATTACGCTGTAGCGGAAATGAGAAGGCCGTAATCTTGTTTCTTAATGGGAATCGTAACGTCACTGTTATCTCTCTTCTGCACATGCGTATTCCCTTTTCTCTTTCAGTTTCTTCAATAAAGCTATAACATGCATGGTTTGTTCATAATTGCGACAGTGACTTTGTTTCTAGCGCGATACCGTAGTTAACAGAACTTTGTTCGCAGCAAAAGGCGTGCATAAGTATGCAGCGATAAACTAAGTGTCCTAAATAACTCGGTCAATTAATACGAAGTTGCGACAACTCATATGGTAAAATAACTTTTCTATCCTGTCGCGTGTTATCCACGAGTAAATTGCAGAATGAATAAACGGAAATAAATAACGCCCGGTCATTTCCGGGCAATCATTTTCCGGGTTGCAGTGAACTCTGACCTTCGGCGCGTCAGCCACCGTGCGTTGCAAGTACCTTTGGCAAATACAGAGGTGATTATCGCCAAAGTACGATTAAATTCAATGGAGTTCGCGGTATCCACGGGCAAACGGTAAAAATCTTAATTGACCGAATAGCGTTAATTAATTAACGAACCAACTTCTCGCCGACGCACATAATTCGGCGCGGAAATAACTGTTTGGGATGTTGAACTCCTGACCGGAGCCGCGTTAGCTACCGATCCCGCCTGCGTGCCGCATAAAAGGTATTCGGAATCGGCGGTCATTTATAACAAGACATCTGCGGTAAGAACGGCAAAATGCATGGAAAACCTCGCGTTACTCGGCACAACTTTGTACCAAACGTAGCAGTTTATTCAGAAAACTCATCAATTAATTACAATTTCTTTTTCCAGATTTCCAATAATTCATTCACGACGTTTCGTGGCATATCATCCGTTTCATTTGCGTTATGAAATATTAGAAATATTATTATTTTTAATCGCGCCGTACTGCGTATTCCGCTAAGAAGTTTATTCTGGAACGTAAAGTGGCCCGATAACCGGGCAAACTTAAATACTTCAACATCTTTGCAGCATCGACGCCGCCAAACACATGTGGCCAGGGGATCTGAAGGCTATTTACGAGAGAATAAAGAAACTATCCCCTGAGAACGGGTATCCGCAGGACGCGCAGTGTTACATTTACCAAGAAGTCATCGATCTCGGTGGCGAGGCCGTCAGCAAGCTCGAGTACAATAAGTTGGCAGGTGTCATTGAGTTTCGGTACGGCATTACTTTGGGTAATATGTTCCGTAAGATGGACAACTTGGCGAGATTGTACAATTTCGGCGACGAGAATGACTGGAGCCTGCTACCCTCTGCCGACGCGTTAGTCATGGTTGACAATCATGATAATCAGAGGGGCCACGGTGCCGGTGGAGCCACCATTTTGACGCACAAGGAGCCGAAACTGTACAAGGTGAGTTTTTGTACTTTGAGAAACGGTATTCGTAAATGTACACGAGATTTAGTTGCGCTATTAAAATATATGGTAATTATTCAGTTTAACGGACCACCCTCCAATCTCGATGACCTTGACACACATTGTCATGAGCCTGGGTGACCTTCAAGAAGTTTTAGAGATTGGAGGGTGGTCCGTTAAACTAAACAATTACCAAATATATTCTGGTCTATATAATTGTTTAGATGGCAGTAGCCTTTATGCTCGCCCATCCTTACGGTCACGCTCGGGTAATGAGCTCGTTCGCGTTTACCGATCCCAGTCAAGGCCCGCCGGCGAATTCGGACGGCAGCATCATTTCGCCCGAGATCGTCAACGGCGAATGCGTCAACGGCTGGGTCTGCGAGCACAGATGGCCGCAGATTTATCGCATGGTCCAATTTCGCAATCTGGTAAACGGCGAGGTGATAGCGAATTGGTGGAGCAACGGGAAGAATCAGATCGCCTTCTCGCGCGGCGCCAAAGGATTCGTCGCCTTTAACGTCGAGGGTGATCTACGCGAGAAGTTGCAGACCGGATTGCCAGCAGGGACATATTGTGATGTCATAACCGGAAATGTGGTCGACGGCCAGTGCAGCGGAAAGTCGGTGCATGTTGGCGACGATGGTACCGCTATGGTCGAGATTCTATCAAACGAGCCGGAAGGTGTGCTCGCTCTTCACATTCAGGTCAGTATAGTAAAAAACGACAAACAGAAAGATAACAAAGATATGATAGTACTATCTGAATTTTCGTACACTTGCAGGAGAGACTGTGAAGCACGCGTGGACAAAAAACTTGTAGACGCGCCATTTTAAGAATCTTTGTGGCTAATATTTGTGTAGACTTGTGCAACTGTAGAAATACTGTAATTGAATAAACAGGCATGTAAGATATTGCACTCTTTGCGATTGAGTAATAACATTATTATCTCTGCGTCTTGCTTCATAATTTGTTTAATTTATTGTTCGATCAATACGGAGCTATTGAGAGAGAAAAGAGAAGAAAATGGACTTGTTGAGACATCAACATAGACTGCTTGCATTCGGACGTGGATTCAGAGGCCTTGTAGCTTATCCATTTCTTTTTCGTGTTCATAGTTTTTAAGTGTTCCCGAGTTAAAGCACTCTGTAATGTTTCTCAAGCGCTGCGTTAGTACTTGCGCGAGTGCGGGAGAATCACGACCAAATCAGGAACGTAATTGATACATTACAAACACGAGTGCATTAATAAAATAATTCGTCTATTAAAAATTTCGAATAACGATTATATAATCCCAATTACACAAGTGTTTCGTCATTAATATAATAGTGGGGCAAACATTGCTTATTGAAATTGAATAAGAATTTGTATACTGATGGAAACATTCAAAATTCCGCTCTCATGAAACTGATAAAATTCCTAAATAAATTCTTATTTTTCAATTTCACACTTTTCTTTACCAACCTTCTTCATAATAGCAGCGGTCAGATAACGCTCGTTTATACAAATATTGTTACAGCTGCAGCCTTAGTTATCCACTCTTCATCAATACAAATTGTTACTTAAAAGAATATGACTAATTAATTAGTCATATTCTTAGGGCTTGCAAGACATTTTTATCGATTAGTATTTGATAAATGTGTTTTCTTGGCGTCGCTGATGTAATATAACGAAGAGTAGCCAGTAAAATGTCACGTTCATTCGTGAGCAGGAAAGCAATATACCTTCGTGCAGGCAACCGGTGGTTATATATTTCCGAGACTGATACTTTGCATCAGTCAGCAATGAGCACAATGCAAGTGCTAGTGTGCGCGTTAGCAATACTATCAGCGGTAGCCGCTCAGAAAGAGACGCACTATGTGCCCGGTCATGATGGGATGGTGCATCTTTTTGAGTGGAAATGGCACGACATTGCAGATGAGTGTGAAAGATTCCTCGGTCCCATAGGATTCGGTGGCGTGCAGGTGAGATAGAAAGACAAGAAATGTTTAGAATGCGGAGACTGTGACACACATAATGTAGAAAAATTCATGAAAAATTCAGAAACTATTTTAAGAATTGGGGAAATTACAAAAAATTTCGTGTTAATATACGATTGCTTTTCTAAAATCAATAAAAATCAATGACATTACATGAATTTCTTCAGAATTTCTTAGCATGTTAACGTTATTTAACAAGATACGAGCCCGAAAGACCCCGTGAATTCTGCGATTAAGAATAAGTGAAATGCAGCAATCTACGTATCATCGGGCAAATGGTTAAAACTAGGGCTGGTGATTTCCTTCGAAGGCTTCGATATTCGAAAATTCGAAGCTTCGAAGTTGACTTCCCCTGTATATTATATATTATATTATAGTTGACATCCTGTATATTAAATATTGTTCAAGTGGTGAATGTACATGGTAGACGCGAGATGTGGATAAGAAGGCACGGACAATAACTCGATAATTTAGAAACTCAAGTAATATTCAGATAAATGTTAAATAAATTAAATTATTATTAATTAGCGATATAATAATGAATTTATGCGAATTTTTCTAGTGTTGATACGATACTTAATTGATTTACTTAATTGACCATTTTTTAAGATTTAATTACGCGATCTTAAACAAATATGTAATCTACATGTTATAGTATTTAAAAATTATAATTTAGAAGTAATTACCTATTTCTCAATATATATAAATTAGTACTTTTTATTTACAATATTTTTAGTGTTCGTCGAAGAAATTCGTCACTCGCACGAATAAATTTTCGAAACTTCGAAGCTTCGAATTTAACTTCGAACTTCGAAGCTTCGAATTACTTCGAAATCTTCGAAGCTTCGAAGTTATGAAAAGTAACAGCTCTAGTTAAAACGAATCCACAAAATTGCTGCAGGTTTCTCCGATCCAAGAGAATGTGATCGTAGGCAATAGACCATGGTGGGAACGTTATCAGCCTATATCCTATAAATGGCACACGAGATCGGGCACGGCGGACGAATTCAGGGAGATGGTTCGCAGGTGTAACGACGTCGGCGTGAGAATTTACGTTGACGTGGTGTTCAATCACATGACCGGTAATCACGACAACGCGAGAGGTACCGGCGGTTCGACAGCGGATACTCATAGCTTCAGCTATCCAGCGGTACCGTACTCCGTATTCGATTTTCACACACCCCCTTGCGGCATCAATAATTATAGGGACCCAGTAAATATACGGAACTGCGAATTGTCCGGCCTCCACGATATCGATCAGTCCAAGGAATATGTCAGAGAGAAGATCGTCAATTTCTTGAACGAAGCTGTCGACGCTGGAGTTGCTGGTTTTCGGTTGGTAGAATCATTGCACTCTACACGCGATCCCGTTGCAATATTTCCCGACCGACGCGAGGAAGCGTCACTCTACGACATTTTCTTTTTATCGGAAATTAAATATCATCTTAATTTCTCCAATACAAGTAAAATTTTTAGTAATATTGTCAAGTCAGTTCAACAATCGATAATTAAATGTGACACATGCACTCGTTCGTGTTTTATCAAGAGAGCGAAGTTTTACCAATTTCTGAATTTTAGAGTGGACGCAGCTAAACACATGTGGCCGAGCGACCTAGAAGTGATCTTCTCTCGGATAAAAAATCTCAACACCGAGCATCATTTCCCTTCAGAGGCGCGACCCTATATATTCCAAGAGGTAATCGATTACGGCGGCGAAGCAATCAGTAAATATGAGTACAACTCTTTCGGCGCGGTAACGGAATTCCGCTACGGTATGGAAATCAGCAACTCCATGAATGGAAACAATCTGTTGAAATGGTTTGGCAACTGGGGAGAAGCTTGGGGCCTGCTGCCGTCTAAGGATGCTGTGGTATTTATTGACAATCACGATACTCAGCGTGGTAACCCCAATATACTCACCTATAAGTCGTCGAAGCGGTACAAGGCAAGTGATTCCCGAGGGAGAAATTAAAAACACAGCAATACTGCGGACGGAGGCTAAACTATATCCTTATCCGAGCGCGGAATCAATAGCAAGTGATATTACAGATGGCTGTTGCTTTCATGCTGGCGCATCCTTACGGGACCGCGCGTGTCATGAGCTCCTTCGACTTTCATTCCTTCGACGCTAATCCGCCGCAGGACTCCGCTGGCAATCTCCTATCTCCAATCATCAATCCAGACGATACCTGCGGCAACGGCTGGGTCTGCGAGCACCGATGGCGCCAGATTTACAACATGGTGCGCTTCCGAAACGCCGCGAATAATACCGACATCAACAACTGGTGGGACAACGGCCAGAACCAAATCGCCTTCTGTCGCGGTAACGCGGGATTCATCGCGATCAATGGCGACGGATATGACTTTAAGCAGACTCTTTTCACCTGCGTGGAGCCTGGCACTTACTGCGACGTCATCTCCGGGAACTTGGAGAACAACAAGTGTACTGGTAAAGTCGTAACAGTCGATCAAGATAGAAGGGCGCATATAGAAATCTTGACGAACGAGGAAGACGGTGTTCTCGCTATTCACCAACAGGTAAATAGCTTTCTTTATCGTTCATTTAGCTCCTTCACATGAGACATTTTATTGCGTTTGTTTTATGACAATTTATCTATATTATATCTTTTTCTTGAGGAATGACTCGCATTGTATAAATGTTTTAATTTTAGAATTGGTTCAAACAATGTTCTCTCACTAAACGATGTTGATATTCTCAAGTAATTTTAAGCAATGAATTGTTGATTAAGATATTAGTAATAATTAACATCGCGTTTGAAGAAATTAAATCACGGTTGTTTATTACAAGGTGAATAATTTTTGCAGGCAAAGGTGAAGTCATAAAGATCCAATTAGACGAATAAAAAATTTAGTGCTATGACACAGAATGTAAGTACATAATATAAAACAGGTGTAAGTTTAAAAGAATTTAATTGCATTCGGATTAATTACAACCAACTATGTAAGATATAATTTGATTGTACTTTTATTTGTACTTGTACTTGTTACGAATAAAATATAAGCGTTTGCATAGCAACACAGTGTAATGTGTTGGTATGTTTGAAATGTCATTAACCCTTTTGATCTTTTACATTCAGTTTACGTCATCAAATTCCAGAAAGTACAATACTCATATATTTTTATCGCTTTAACAAATCCGATAACTGTTGACTCGTATTTGCCATCGAAAAGAGTCCAAACATGCAATGTAATATTTCTGAGAATGTATCGGTGAAATTGAGTAGAATGCAATTGTTATTTTTCAACAATGTTTATTTTAACAGAAACAATGTACTGTTTTTCCTCTTTTCACCATTAATTTCTACTATACATGATATGACAGTTATTCGTAAGTAATACACGACAGACTCGCGATGGAAAAACAAAAAGTCGAAGGGAGATCGGGTGAGATGGGGTGGACACATGCCGTAAAATCGATCGGTTTTGAGAAAGTGAGATATACCGAAGGATGGGTAGAAAATCTTGAAATATCACAAAAAATTGCCTTATCGTCGGTTTTACCACCTCTCTCTCTCTCTCTCTCTCTCTCTCTCTCTCTCTCTCTCTCTCTCTCTCTCTCGTTTCTAATTCATGTGTGCGGTTAAATTATCCTTCGCTGAAAGAATCTGTCAGCACATTTATCATTCTAACTCTTTCCTCCCGTCCGTTCTTCTTATCATCGAACGAACACGCTGCACGAAATAATTAATGCGTAACGCACGTAATTACGCATTAATAGCGTGAATCTCGCGACTAAGATACTAAATAAAATACTACGGGGTATTTGTAGAAGCACGACATAAATAAATGCTTAAGCGTTATGTACAGTGGTCTTGTTTAAGTAAAAGCCGCTAACTCGATTAGTGTAGGCGCGCCCGAGTTTGTCGTACGACGAAAAAAAAAGTGATCGTTTGTTCGAAATAAAAAAGTTGCCGAATGAGCGTTGCGTCCATTAAACACACGAAACGAGAAAAAATGTCTTCCTTACATCACGTTATTTTATGTACATATGTACGTCGAAAGTTAGCGTAATCGCTAATTATAAATAATAGGCACGTAAACAAACCTCAACCTACAATTACAATTCTGCGTAAGGTAGAAGCAAGAGTAATATCGCATGCGATTACAGCGTCTAATTACCATTGGTAATTTTGTACCACGAGTAGTAACGGACTTATGTAATCAGCCGCAGGAAATACGAAGGAATTTCCTTCTTTCACCGCCACTTTTGATCGTTCTAACTGATTAAATAGAGCGCACTTGGGTCAATTTCGACACACCGCGATTTCTAGTAGATACTTTTGCGTTTTCTATTTCTTTTTTTTTCAGCGCAAGCGCAAACTCGGGGGCGCGCGGGCGCACGTGGAGGAACGTGCTGTTTAGGCGTCACGTGTATATGTATATACAATTATAAGTTTATATGGTCTGCAGTAAATTCAGACTAATGTTTGTATACGCGTGTTTGCGTGTGTATGTGTGTCTGTCTGTGTAAATCTAAAAAATACTGCTCGTCTTACCAACCGATTCGTTTGCCGCGCACATTTTCATCCGCGTATGGTACGTGTAAGCGCAGTTTGACGTCGTCGCCCTACCACCATTTACATCCTAATCGTTACGTGAATACAATAAGGCAAAACGGGTACTACATCTCTAAATAAATAAACGTTTGACGTTGCGCGAATCTTGGAGATTAACGGGGGCAAAAGGAGGCGCCGTAATGTACAATTCCTAAGGAGCTACACGGGTCCGTCGCGCGTGAAACTGTCGTCGTCGTCCACGTATCGCGCGTGTCGATGTCTCCTGTGTGTATGTGTATGTTTTACCTTCGTGTATGTGTGTGCTCGCACGTGGATTCTCATTCTTGCACATAGAGCACATTAGCAAAAATATAATTTAGTATATTTATCGTAATAATTCTCATCCATATAAAAAACTTCGTTAAAATATATAAAAGAAACAACGATTTGAGCAAATACGTATCTCCTACGGTAGTTAAAAGTTATCGCGTCGAAACGTATATTTATTGTTATTGCACGTAATTCTTCTCGCTGATTATGTATATATAGATTGTATTCTTTTAATATATCTATACTTACTTCCACTTCACACACACTCGCACGTAATTGCAATCGTTCCGACATATGTACACATATACGCGTACCGTTCACGCACTCCTCCTCTATTTTCTCTTTCTCTTCTCGACATCGAGTTGGTGGATCCTCATTTCGTCAACTTTTCGTGTCGTGTACAGAAACGAGTTCGGCCGTTCGAGAAAGCTGTCGCTCGACAATCAAGATGATCTCAAGTAATCAAAAGTAATATGTAATGTTCCATCGCGCATCGGGAATTAATCCGAACGATCCCTCGACAACGTCGTCTTGGAAGACTTCACGAAGATAGGCACTCGTTTGATTTATTATCTATTAGGTTTTCGCCTCCCGGGAGAAATATTCCAAAAAGATAATTAAATATATGAATTTTATTTTAACGATCGACATAACTTTGAAAGGATGTACATTTAATCAGTTAATTTTCTGCCTTTTAATTTATCAAATGTTTTCTAGAAACGTTTTCATGCACGTAAATGTAGAAAAAAGAAAAAAAACATCGAAATTCGTTTGTTTGAAGGACTTGGATTGCGGAAATTTTAATTAAGTAAGATATTTAAAGAAATAATTTAAACAAAACTGTATATCCCTGATATATTTGTCATCGTACGATGGAAGATAATCGTATATTACGCGCGATGCGAACAAAGTATGTTATTTGTCCAGCATACATCCCTAATTTTCTATGTCTCACAGTGTAAAATATACTATTTAAGTACTGAATCGATGATAGAGATCACAAGTTTTATATAAAATTATCTATTTTTACAAATCCTCACATGCCGTCGTATTTGTATGAATATTATTCTCATGGAATTTCCATTATTTAAATATTGAGAAAAATTAAAATTTATAATTTTTCTCTCTTTCCGTGGATTGTAACTTTTATTAAGGTTGACGCAATATTCTAGGAGCAAATAAAAATTAAATCTTCTACCAAATTAACTGTTGTTACAATAGATCCATCAGAATATATAGTTTTACTAAAGAAAATAAATACACATCCAAGTTCAGGAATTATTATTTCACTAACTCTTCAATTATCGTACGTAGATCTATTCTCGCAGCGACATACACTATCGCGATTCAGCTAGAATTCTTTCTTCGACCATCTGTCCTCGCGATTGTAACTATTCAACGCTTCGCTCTATTTCGCTCTATTATTGCTGTACATATAGACTTTTCAAAAATATTTTTCCGTTTCTCTATCCCAATATTACTCGTTCAGTAAGTAAATTGAAAATAAAGCTGAGCTTTCTTTTGTCTCAAGCCTATAATCTTCAGCTTCGCAATTGGGCAATTTAATTAACGTACCATTCGTCGCGCTGCGCCTAGGTTCTACGTAATCCGTCGGTACAATCGAAGCTTGCAGTTTCACTAAAATACGGTTCTTCAGGTCTCTACAGTTTAGGCTTTAGATTATCCTGATGATCGACGGAAATCAAACACTCAAAAACATTTCTATTCTCGAGTATTCAATTCATATGCTATATGCGCGCTACGTTAACCGAACCCTCCCTCCCTCCCGCTCTTTTCTTTCTCTCCTTCGTACCTTTCGGTTCAATCTCGGCTAAAACTCACGGTCTGAGTTTCTATCTCTAAAAGTCCTTCCGAGTGCTTTAATTACTGACAACAGGCGGAGTCTCCGCGCTCCCTGATATACGAAGTCGTCTTCTCCCGATTGAACGCGACGTCGTGTCGCGTGTCATTGCTTGATAGGCTTTTTGAAGACGACTTCCGGCTTGCGTACCGAGCGCGGTACGCGCCGTTCTATCCTGAGGGCCCGGTTCGGGTCCGGAGACGATGGCGCCGGGGTCAGGCTGACCGCTGCTGTCTCGGACCCCAATGGGGGAGTCTCCGCCATTGTTTGTCAGTTCCCTGTGCTGCTGGGTCGTCGACTCGGCGTCTGCTGTTGTTGCTGCTGCTGCTGCTGCTGCTGCTGTTGCTGCTGTTGCGTCACCGCCGCGGCCGCTGCGCTCAACGCCGGTAGCGGCGTTTGGTGACAGTGGGCACAGTGCAAGCATACCGTGCAGGCACCGAGTTTCCGAGCCAACAACACGCGCAGCTTCAAGGCTGGACCGAGCTTCATGCCCATCGTGCCTGTCAGGTGGTTCTCCGAGAGTAGCGGCAGCGCCGCACCGTCTATACGGTGCTCCCGGAAATTCTGCAAGCAGAAATATGGCAGCATGTTATTAGCGGTATACCCTGAGACGAGGGTGATACATTCGTTGGTCTCTTTTAGATTATTCTGAGAGCGCGGAGAGACGAAAACTGCGGGGTACAAAACGCCCACGATGCTAGAACCTGGTCCAAACAGCTTGCCGCTTTTATGGAATAGCTGCAAGTTGATTGGCTACACATTTCTCAAAACCAATACTTGAACCAAGCATCGTGGGCACGGGCCTTTAGGAATATCAGTATCGGTTCTATCGTAAACGCCTGTGTCCGCGTTCCTTAATGGTCCGCATATCTTAACAATATGCTAAATGTTAATCCTTTTGTCAGCGATGTTCCCGGGTCTTCGTTCACGAATCGTCAACTCGCGAGCAAAGAGCTGGCGGCGGCGTGGATATTATTGGAATTCGCGGCATCTAAAACTCCGGGTTGTGCGGAGTGGCCCGTTCGTTAACGCTGGCTCTTTCGTACACCTCTCGGTCCCCGATGCATACCTCCGCGTGCGGAGCGGGACACGTACGCATGTACCGCCGACCTCCGACCGGCTCGAATCGCGGCCGGGGACCGTCCCCTTCCGCGGCGGCTGCGACCTCGCTGACGCCGCGGAATCCCGCGAATTCGTCTCACGCGAGACGCGACCGGTGGGAAGGGCGGGATCCGTTGTTTCCGTCGACGCACAAAAAGTCAGTATCGAGAGGCTACCGGGAGGAAATCGGAGAGGAGGCTGAAAAGGAGCGGAGGAAGAGCGGACGCGAAACGGAAGGGGGCGAGAAGAAAAGGAAAGAGAGGAGGATGAAAAAAGAGGCATAGGAGCGCGGATGCGTTTCATTCACCGCGCTGGGGGCCGCGCCTCGCGTAATTGCAGCTGCAACGACCGCGGGGTGGTGCTGCAGCGTGCGGTAACGCGAGCGCGTGTACGTAAGCGCGCGATCGCGGACGTCCCTTGCGCGCACCACACGTTCGTGGAATACGGTAATTGCTCGGCCCGCTTATGAATGAAATATTCAGCGCCGTAATGCGAGCCGCACACGCAACGGCAGACCGGTCTCCTTCCTCGGCGAAGGAGGGGATCGGGATCGACGTGGAGATCGAGGCCGTGCATTCATGCCGCTGGGCATTCAGGTCTCTCTTTTCTTTCTCTCTTTCTCTCCCTTTCCTCTCGCGCAGATAGCGTCTAATTGGCCGGCTTTCGGAGTGTAAGTGCGAGGGTTATTTGTCACCGAAGGAGAAGCGCTTATCGATCTCCGTGCTTTTGTACCGCACCTTTTCTCCGGCGATCGATTCTAATAATCAACGTACTGTAAACGAAGGATTCGTCTTTCAAACCCTCTAAGCGCCGGGTCTAAACAATAAATTGGATTAATCTAACGAGTCGAGACAAACCCTGAGTAAATTAAGGAATAATTAATTGTACTCCTTTTTACGCACAACTAATTGTTTCTTTTCACGGATTAACTTATTTCTGCCCATCATCGTCCGACCGGCAATGATACGCGTCGTGAACTTGGAATTCAACAGGTGTTGCATTCATGCCGCTGGACTGAATGTAGGTGCTCGCTGACCGTTTCGCCAAGCGACTTCTAATCTACGATTTATCTACGTGCGCATCGCGCCAAGAAATATCAAGGGAATTCATCGCGCAACAGGGAATCTATATTGCTAGGCGCGAGTCCGGGGATCTCGCGGTAACAATGAGGCTCGCATAATCGCCGACAGTAAAACGCATAATCATTGATTACGGTAAATAGGCCCCACACTGTTTCGGATTCTCGATGCATTCGCGGTTCTAACGGTACGGAGTCAGCCACGCGCGAGAAAAGCCGCCTCTTCACGGTCGCCTCGCGCAAAACGCTAATTAGTTAAGTCATTCGCACGACGCGCAAGAAACTGTTCGCGCCGCGAAACTGAGCTACGGTGCGGCCGCTCTTTGTCCGGCGCAGAAAAGTCTCAGATTCCCTTCTAAACGTTACTCGAAACTAGTTGTCAAGAGAAAGAGTAATTCCACATTTCCGTTCGTCCGTCACGCCACGCGTTCAAGTCTCTTATTCATCCGCGTAATCTTGTATAATTGCAATTCTCTCAAACCACTCGTGAAATCACCTAAATCCGCATTATAAATTCTATTCGCAATCAACGGAGTGTTCAACGTGTCATAAAAAGATGCATCTCATCCCAGGCGTCTTACTTGACGTCTTATTATTGATTTCGTATATCCCAAAGAGGGAGAACAAAGTGAGTGACTCGTGGGACTCTCGACGCGTTCGGGCGCGAGTTGCATGCATTACGAGAACGCGTCCACCCACAGCTTGACGAGGACGATGCCTCATTGTTTTCGCGAGGCGGTGCAGGGAGCAAACAGTTTCGAAATCTCACGAAACGACCGACGCGGCATGGACCGTTCGACTCGCGCGATGAGATGCGGTGGACGGTGCGGTGCGGTGCGACGCGGTGCGGCGCGGCGCGGCGCGGCGCGGAGCAGCTGCAGTTGCAAGCGAATATATCATCCTCGTGTTGCACCGCGGGCGACCGGGCGCGCACCAAAGGCCGGGTAACGAAGACAACCTATATTTTCTCCACCCAGTTCCAAACTCTTAAGGGCAAACGCGATCTCCCGGCTGGTCCTGCATCAATTATACCTTCCACAAACACGATGTTAGGCCCCCTCGCGTACTCGTCGTGCGCCGACGCGGTACGAGAGAGAGATTCGAGCTCGCGCGAGGATGCACGCTCCGACTCGGGAGCATGTGTTATTAAATTATTCGCGCGTCACTGCGTCTCGCGAACACGAGGGGGATGGGGGAGGGCTGCCCTCTTCTTAAATTATGCGCGCGGGCTTATCAGATATGCCCGTGGGCCAAGAGGCGCGCTAAGCGGAATTTAAATTGGCGAACATAGAAATGTTCGTGTAACGATATAAATGCGCGTTGCGATTTGCGATATTTATTGTGCGTCCCGTGTCCCGGCGCTGAAATCGCGGCTCGTGGGCCTTTACTGTATCCGTAATATGTGTCTAATAAAAATATTCTATTCATTTATGCTTTCTGAAAGTCAATCAGTAGATTGTCATTGAGACCAGTGACTACTCAATGATTCACAGTTGCAAGTATACCACTGCGATTTTCAGTGATAATTCACTGATTAACTTTTAGAGAATAGGCAGATGTGCTGCGTTAGAAACTGTTTAGTAACTTACGCGCACCATAATAATAGTTTCACTGTTTAATTTTGCACTTGCTTCCGTAAGCACGCGGTGGACAGCGAACGACACAAATTCGTCGCGAGCGAACGCCAGTTCGTCCCGAGAAGACCCTCGCCGAGAATATCCGCGAGGTTGCATCCGACCGTGACCTGGGAAAAGACGGTGAATCCTCGAAAAATAACGGGCTCCTTTCTTGCCGAGCGCGAATCCTCGACCCGAGGAATCTCGCGGTTATAACCTCGAGAGAGATCGCTCAGTCGGAACCACGTCACGTTAAACCACACGCAGCGAGCGCCAGAGAATTCGTTCTTGGACGCCCGGGCGATCGGTCGTTGATTTTTTGCATCCGAGGCACAGGTGTGGAAGGCGATACGAAAATTAGTGCCTCGGGCAATTCCCCTTAATGGAATTAGTGCCCCGATATCAGGGCCTCTGCAATTAGGCCTAGTTTCGGTAATTACAGCAAGTTGTAGCAATTATAGTAATTTAACATTGTAATCCTAGTAGTTTTTCAATCAACCGGTAAAGGAGCTCACTCATCATTCGAGAAATAGATTTATAATAAACTGGAGTACCAGATATCGAGGTAAACATCTGTTACACCCGTTTGGCTCACATCCATCTCCACAGCTGTTAATTTTATCGTCGATCGAGCTGACACAGGTCGGCATCAGCGCGTATATGTGCGCGATGAATCACGCATAAATCAATTGTCACGACGTTTCGCGCTGTTATATTTGCGGGCGAAACCTTAAATTTCTTAAATGTCGCCCGTCGATAGCGTCGCGGCGTTGCAGCATTTATGGCGCATAAAACGTTTCTTTTCGTTCTTTTAATTATTCAACGGCGTAAAGTCACCGCGTAACGCCACTACAAGCTTCTAACAGTTCTCCGCCATAAAAGTCGCGTTCGCTTCATAGCTACTTCTGACTGTCTCAGTCATTATTACACCTGTCGTGTTACGAAATGGCAGATAGATATGAGCGACGTTTCAGGATAGCTTCAAACGGTCCTGTCGCGCACGCAACCAACATCTGCGGATGACTTTTACGTTGTTCGCCTTCCCCCAATTATCGCAACTCCTTTTACGAATAAATGCATTCCCAATTGTTCCGCAACAAGGACTGGTTTGGCAAACCGAGTTCTTTTTATTTGCCCAACGTTAATTATCGTTGAAATTGAAAACGGGACTTTATCAGCAGACGTGGCTCCTCCCATGGATAGATGCTCGGCTGACAATTAGGACCAGATTGGTAGTTGCTATTGTTCCAGTCTACTCATCACCTCCCTTTGTACGATCCCGCGGAAATTACAATACCGCATCGCATTGTGTTTCGACTCCTAACCCACCATTCTTTTAACGCGTCGGATTATACGTTACACGTGTATCTCACCTACGCATCGCCGGCGTAACGTTACGTTGCATCGCTGTCGAACGAACGCCGAACGACCGCGGCGGGCCGTCGCGCGAGGAATCAAGCGTCAAACCCATGGTGTAAAGATACAAGGTGAGACATTGCGCACGTAACCAATTTTTGGGGCAAATTGTTCATTGGTTCCTTCTACATTCAGCCGCAATGATTTGCAGTTTGACGGTTGGGGAAAGTTTCTGATTGGTCAATTCGGTGGTTTGGGCCACTTCTGATTGGTTGACACTGCGCATCCACCAGATTACTTCACCTGGTATCTTTACACCATGGCCAAACCAATAAAAGCGAGTGCGCGCCGCAACTTTTGTCGGCCGCTACCGAAGGGGGATCCCCGGGCCCGTTGCCTGCTCCCGAGATCCC